GCCCACAGGTGCGGCTGTGGAGACGCCGGGACAGCACCATTTGACCAAGGAGGGGTTTGAACTTGTGCTTATCAGGCTGCTCTTACGAAATGTCTCTGTTGGTGCAGAGGCTGAGAAGGGTTCAAAAGCTGCTGGAGGACCGACACTGATGCCTGATTTCTGTGCCTGCAGATAAACCGGAGCACTGACAGAGGAGGCAGAACAAGCCTCACTTCAGGGCACCCCGGGACTCTCAGAGCCTGGCAGTCCTGCTCAGGGATGCCTCAGGTTGCTCTGGGTCAAAATCTGTCTGTAGAGTGCAGGGATGAGGAGGAGGTGATGCTGAGAGCACTGTGCATAGGGTTTGCAGGAATCTCACCTACGTGTCCAAGCGCCAGGGGGGCCCTGCTGCAGTGAGCCTTGACAGAGCTCCTCCCCAAGTGTTGGTGCAAATGTGTGTGTGAGAGTTGGGGACGCTGAGCTCCTTCCAGAAACCCTGTAATGAGAGGGCCCTGCCACTGGCCAGGCTTGGGCTCCTGGGGGTGCCCAGATGGGGAGGACACTGTGGCCCCTGCCAGGCTGCGGGCACAGGAGGCTCTTTGTGCCACTGGGGAATGGCAGCAGGGCTGCCTTGTGACATTTGGGCACTGCCCCCGCTCCCACCTCTGCAGCTGCCAGCTTGCTCCCTGCACAAGCTGTTGTGGGCATATTTGGACTCCAAAGAAGAGATGCGTCAGGCTGCCGAGGGCCCCTCAGGGCGCGCACTACCCACAGTGGCTTGGTCCCATTGCTCGACCTCCTTTTGCAGGCATGGGGAGAGTGCTCAGACCTGGCTCTGGCAGGGTTCCTGTGGACAGCTCTGTTTAATCACTTAATAAATTCCCAGGAGCGCAGCTGCCAATATGAGGAGCACACGTCTGCAAAAAATACCCTCCTCCCCTGCTGTGCTACAATTAAAAGCCACCCTGTGTTCCCCCCTCTCTCCGTAAACATATCTTGGCTCCAGGATGTTGTCCCTCCCATGACAGCCTGAGCCCCAGCCAAGCTCTAGCTCCGCTCTGGTTTGCCATGGTCCCTGTGGAATCAGAGCTGTGGCTGGAAGGGACTGGTTCATATTGGCAGGGCATGGCAATGGCTTTGCCTCCCCAGTCCTTGCCAGCATTCCCCTTCGCCCCTGCCAACTCTAGCATTCACTCGGGCTCCAGTTTGCTGGGGAGAAATTAATCCCCTTCCAGGCTGCTGTTGGAAGGAGGGAGGTCCTCAGATCTTTGGAATGTAGACAGAAGTCAGCCCATCTTCATGGATGCAGTAGTGTTCACCCTGGGCGTGGCACTGCTGTTTCGGATCTGTGCGCTTGGATGTGTCTGGCGCTGTGTGTGCACAGTGAACACTTGTGTTTGAAACTCAGTGCCCTCTGTCCTGGACAGATAGACTTGAGAAAATGCCCAAAAATGTCCTCCCTAGGGTTGATGACAGGGAGACCAATCTGCCAAAATGGACTTGTGCCTGTTCAGTGCCTCAACTAACCCGTCTCCCTTCTGTGGCAGCTGAGAAGGTGACTTCTCTGGGGAAGGACTGGCACCGGCCCTGCTTGAGATGTGAGAAGTGTAACAAAACCCTGACATCTGGAGGCCATGCAGAGGTGAGGTTTGCTGCCCAGGAGGTCCCAGTCCTCTGCAGCCAAGGGCTGGGATGGGCAGAGGTGGAGCTGAAGGGTGGTCGGGGCTGATGCTCTTTCTCTCTCCCTGCAGCACGATGGCAAGCCGTACTGCAACCACCCCTGCTATGCCGCCTTGTTCGGGCCCAAAGGTAGGGTGGCTGTGGCTGGTGTTGCGGGAGGGAGGGCAGGGGGCTCGGAGATCCTGTCTCTGGGCACGTTGCAGCCCTCAGTGTGCTCCCCATTCCGCAGCAGTGCTGACCCTGCTCTGCCTCTCTTCCAGGGTTCGGCCGGGGAGGAGCTGAGAGCCACACGTTCAAGTAAACCTCAGGTTGGTCCTTCCCTCAGAGCTCCCCTCCTGCCTCTGGCTCCATGGGCTGGCTGGGGCTGTCCTCCCTCAGGCAAGCAGGGAAAGCAGGCTGTGCCACAGCATCTCTCTGGGCTGGCTGTGACTCCCAGTCCTTGCACTGGTGTTTGGGAGCAACCTGCTGGGTGCCAGCTGCTGCTCTCCACCAACCCCGACTGTCAGCACCCGCTTAGCTCCGGCAGTGGATGACAAAGGCTTTTTGCTTTGTGGCTTGTTGGCAAAGACAGGGTCTTTCCTGGAGCACTGTTGTCCCTGGGATATCTCTGCTCGCAGCCCAGCCTGACTTCATCCACTCCTCTTTTCCATCCCTCTCCAGGTCTGACGGCCAGGGTTCTCAGCACAGTCTGAAGACAGCACAAACACACCGCAACAGACATGCATTTTTGTTTTTAATTCACTCTGTACTAGACTAGAACGTTCAAAGCAATAAGTAACCAAGGCTGGGGCTGGTGTGGAGAGGGGCGTCTGCTCCAGATGAAGTACTGCTGGGGTGGGGCCTTTGGGTTGCCCTGCCGGACAGGAATTTGGCTGGTATTGCTGAAGGCTGCCTGGAGAGGAGACCACACCCTTCCAGCCAAAACCTAGCTCTGCTTCTGGCACCCAGCTCTTGTGGCTGGGCCCACAGTTGTATTCTCAGTCTTTAATAAACCAAAAGATGCTTCCCCCATGTAGCAGCTGTGCTCTCTGTAACGGGGGTCCTGCAGGACTCACTTGTGAAGCGCTTGCCACTTGCTTGAGAACTCCTGTGTCCTTTGGATTGAGAGACTGTGTGATGGCTCCATGTGCTTCTGCTCCTGGTGTGTGCAGAGTCTTGCCCTTGGCTGCCCATCCCAGGGGCTGCCTGAGCCCTGGGGCAGTGAAAGCAGTCCCAGGTGCTGTGGGTGAGCATGCCCCAAGGGAAGGGGTGATGGGTGTTGTACTGGTGCTTGTCCAGGGTTGGAGCCTCCCTGCTTTTGGGAGCAAGGTCCTACTCCACCCACAGCCTTACCGGGTCTGTGTGGAGACATTTGCAGAAGTCTAGAGCGTGGTTGCTCCTACCATAAGCCAGCTCTTGTTGCCTGTGGCTGTCATGGGGTTGGAGGCATGCAGTGCCGCTGAATGAAGGGCTGAGACTGTTGACCTGAGGTCTCTGTGGCACTCTACAGCCTCCTGGCCATGTCCCGGCCTCAGGCACTGCCTGCTGGAAAGCCATGCCCATGGGCAGCCCCCAGATCTGCTCCTGGATATGAGATGGCCCTGTGCAGCCATTGTTTGGGGCAGAGAAGTGTCTTGCTGGGAGGGGGGGGTTACCTGTCACATCAGGATAACCTGGTATTTGCTGCTTTTGCTCTGAGCAGGCATACAAAAAGACCAAGTGAGCTGGGAGATTACGGTTGAGGCAGAGCCAGCCTCCCTTGGTAGGGAAAGCAGAGGTGTGGTGTTACAAAGCAAGTGCTGGCTCATAAGAGCTTTGCTCTTTTGTGTTCTAATGTCTTTGCCCCATTGGAAGAACAGCACTCACAGATGTCAAAGATGTCAACTTGAGGGATGTTCCTAAAATGGCTTCTTAACCATGTCTTTCCCTAATCTGAGCCATCCATTTACATATTCAGACATACTTCATCACCCACTGGGATATTTTCATCTACAGTTTATGCATGCATTTCCTTAGAGACTGCTTTGCATCTTACGGTTATGCCAGCTCTCCTGGGACTCGGCCAAAACCCTCAGGGGTCAGAGGTACATGTCCAATGTCAAAATCTTCAGTGTCAAAAGCAGCCTGATCTGATAAGCATCTCAAAACTTCCAATTAAAACTTGCTTGATGCTACAAGGCTCAGCACCCACTAGGAATGCTTCAGTGGGATGAACTCGAACAGCCGGCGCTGCGTCACCTCCCACCCAGTTAGGACAACAAACAGGCGTCTGTGTCAAAGGCAAACCCCAGCTATTGCTGTTCAGCTGTCACCAGACTTCCCAGCCAGCCAGGCTCGTAGGGTCCCCTGCCCTCCTGCTCCCACCGCTGCCCTTGCCAGCAGCCTTTCGGGGGTGCCAGCACCCATGGACCCATGGCTCCTGGCCACTGCTGCTGGCACCCAGCCACCCCTGGGGCACTGGGACACGGCTTTCCTCTGCCAACTGAGCTTCAAAGCAAACTAGTGATAGAATCTCAGCAGCTTTGAGCATGCCTATGAGATAGTGTTTTCCCTCAAGCATTAAAAATAATGGCAAACAGAAGCCTTGTCACCCTCTTGATTTGCATAAGTGTGTCCAGCTGGGAAAGGGACCTGTAAATTGGGCTCCTGGTCTTTCCCAGCAGGGCCTTGCACTTGAAACTTCAGGAGCAGCTAATTCCAAGTGCAAGGCATCAGGCCATCAGGGATGACAAGGGAATCAGTGAGAGGTATGGAAAAGCAAGTTCTGCTGGGGTGATCCAGCCCTTCATCTGCCAGCCCTTTCTGTGGGCAGTGGCTGCAGCTGGGGCTGGAGGCAGTGTGTTGCTGCTTGCAGTGCATTTCTGTTTGCAATGTGTTGCCTGGGGCTGCTTTTGTCCCTGCCATGGATTTGAGGTGTAGTTGTGGTGGCTAGAGACATCTCTCCCTGCCCTGGCTGTGTGGAGGGATGTAGGAACTGAGCTGTGCCAGGTCTGTGCAGCTGCAGCTAAACTTGATCCTGCAGCTGCCTCACTCTGTGCTGCCCAGGGGAACGTGTGTTAAAAAACAGGGGTCTCTCAAGCAAGGTCTGTGGACAAGCCCTTGGGTATTGATTCCCAAAATCTCCTTAGTGTCCTGTTTTTCTGCCTACTCTGCAGTAGGAGCTCCCTGAGCTGGCTTTTAGCCCCAGGACTCATTGCTGGCATACTCCCCTCCAAGAGCTGTGCTTGTATAAGCCAGTCTCTGCCTGCTCCAGCCTTGATGCTGTGAGGTTGGGCAGTTCAGGCACAGGTCACATCCACAAGGAACCTTGGTCAAAGAAAATATATGATAAATTGATTTTTTAAAAACTTGCTTTGGTCTATAGAGAGGAAGCAGAAACAGCTGTATCGCATTTGGATAGGAAATCCACGCCTGAGCGGGGCCTCCCCTCGATGCGCAGGCTGGATCAGCAGTGGCCAGTGCGCCAGGGAGGTGGGGTGTCACCAGGCACAATCTTTTCTCCATGGAACAGTATATCTCTGTGGCCTGCAGTGTGAGCTGCACAGACACGCAGCAGTCTGGCTTCCAGTGCATTTTGTCTGTGATGCTCTCAGCTCTGAGCTTAGGACAGGCGGGGATGGTCCCTTCCCTCTCAGTGCAGTGATGCCCTGGCTGTGCTGCTCCTGCAACAGGGAGAACAGGATGCTCAGTGAAAATCCCAGCTTCCTGGGGGGAGCAGCCAAAGCATGACAGCTTGGTGTGCCCCATCAGCTGCTCCCAATGCTCAAGGCAGAGAGCAGACCCTGGGGAGGTGGCTGGCAGCCCCCATGTCCTACCTGGTCACCAGGGAGCCATCATGGGGATATTGCTGCCATTGCATGGTCCCAGCCCCAAGGTGCCTGTCTGGGACAGCAAAAGGTGTAGAGTAATTTACAGTGTGGTGATGCCCAGCTCAAAGGTCCCCTGCTTTGGTGACCTGAAACAGCACCGTTACTGACCCTGGAGAAAGGGGCTGTGCTTTCTCTGCCATTATTTCGGAAGCTTGGGCTGAGATCAGTGACGTCTTTGGATTGTGGAGTGATAGTTGCTATAAACACTTCATCACTGTGACAAAGAAAACAAACAACATCACCAGTTTCTCTGGCAGCTGGGTGTGGGCGAGCCTCAACGCCCTGGGTAGGGAAGCAGAAGAGGTTTTGGCAAAGGACAGGAAACAGGATGGGCTCAGAAACTAAACGGCCGTTGCTCCCCACCCTGGCTTTGTGGCTTTCTCTACAGAAGAAAAAAGGAGAGGCAGACAGAAAAGGGCTTGGGGGTCCTTCGGCTGATCTGTAAAAGGAATGGATGCTATTTCAGCTCCGGTGGGGGGCACAGTGCAGGGAGGAGGGGCTAGTTTGAGTCACCTGGCCCTGCGTCCTTCTCTCAGCACAGATTGACAGACCTTAATCCAAAGCAAGGGACCCACACGGATCACTGAGTCCAACCTTTAGCCCTGCACAGGACCATCCCCAAGAGTCACACCATGTGCCTGAGAGTACCAAGGACATGAGAGCCCTGGAAGCACAGATGAGGCCAGGCACCTGCTGTGGGGTGGCAGCAGTTTGTTTCCCTGCAGTGTTTCTCCAAATAAAGCTGTGTCCCTTCAGGGACAGGCAGGGTGCAGGCAGGGCTGGAGGAAAATGGCACAGGGGCTGTGGCTTCAGGGGGTTCCTGCTCTTTCCCGTTCAGGGATCATGGGGATGAAGCCAGTCTGTAACTGTGTGGTATCCAGCTCACCACTGCTTTGAGTATTTTTAAAGCTGATTTGTGTTAAGTTCAAAGAGCTCTAATATCTTTTAGGTCAAGAATGTGTCTGCCCATCTCCTAACACCTCAGAAATCTGCCTTCTTATCTAGACAGTGTGGTAAGAAGGACTGTGCAGCCGATGTCAGGCAGCAGGAGCTCTGCAAGTTCTCGTGGTGAGCTGGGACTTCCCGTCCCAGCTCTGCAAAGCAGTGGATTGGGGAAGCCCCATCTCACCAGCGGAAGCAGCTTTGCAGAGGTGTCAAAGAGGGGCTCAAACTTTGTTCCTGATGGGGAACAACATCCCCAGCAATTATTGAAGCAGCTGAAGATACTGAAGGCAGAAGGACTCCGGGTAAGTGGGACGACCAGGGGCATAATGAGAGGTGAATGAGCCCATGAACTAGCCCTCAGTACTGGAGACTGAGATCTAGTCAGGGAGCAAGGAGAGGAGGGGACAGGCTCTTCTACCCTAACCCTGTTCTCATTGCTGGTGGTCCACATTGGAGAGGAGCTGGGTGGGGAAATGTGGGGTGGGTGGGATGTTTGTCAGGTCCTTGGCTTTTCCAAGGAAGGAGTCCAAGCATAAAAGTTGACATCAGGCACTTAAAGCTGAATTTTACTTTCATCCCTCTTGTGTTATTTTCAAGGAATCAGGGAGAGTTTCCAAGGGGGAAGGGCGCAAGAGCTTCCTGCCAAAGCCTCTTGTCTTTCTTTGGTGAGTCTTTTGTTAAAGGCCTGGGGGGAAGAGGTCAGAGGGAGTTTCCCTCTGTGCAGAGGAACGTCAACTTGTCTATTAAAGTAAAAAGGGTGAAACTCTGAGAACAGAAAGTTGCTGAGATCTCAGATCTCTTTTCTAATCCTTCCCAATTCACTTATCATACTGAAAGTTCAGACCCCTGCATCAGAGGGCCAACGCCCATCTTAAACATCCGACTGCCGGGAGCTGACCTTCAATTTTGGCGCTACAGCCCACACACAGGGCTATTGCAGACTGACTGACTGTGTCTAGGACAACCTGCACTAGAGCATTCGTGGAGCTGTCATGGTCCCTTTCAGGGATCTCAGTCATGTAAAATTGTGACATGATGCAACTCAGCATGCTAAATGTGTGCTGGCCATGCCAGCACTAGCAGCACGTCTTGCATACACTGGTGAGGGTGGTGTCAGGAGGCAGCTCAGTGCTCTCTGGCAGGGAGATGCCAGGCAGATTGTATTCACAGCCCCTGTGCTGCTCAGCTCCTTCCTGCCAGCATTATGTTGGCCCTGCTGCCATCCCATGCCTTTTCCCACTCTGGTTAACCTGGTGTCCCAGCGAGGGGAGAGAGAGAGCATATAAAAGAGTTGGGAGGGCGCAGGGAAGGGGCTGGAAATGTCTGCAAAAGAAAATTATGCAGCCTGCCTGACCTGCTCAGGGTGTGAAATGCTCTGGTCACCCAAGGCCTCCCTTGAGCAGGCAAGGAAAGAAGCTGTGCTCTGCTAGGATGGCTGCAGAGGAGGAGAGGGGAGAGCAGAGGAGTGAGGAGCTCAGGCTGCCCGAGCTGGCGGTGGAGCGTGGGAAGCACTGATGCCTGGCCTGGAGAACAGGCTGGCTCCTGCCTGCATCTTCACGGGGATAAAAGCATTAAAAAAAAAACAACAAACCACCAAAAGAGCAAAGGAGTTGTTTTCCCAGAAGGAGAGCTCACACCTTCCCCTTGGCAGGGCTGGGCTGAGGTGAAATCAGGAAGCCGTGCTGCCGCTGGAGCGGGCAGAGATGGCCGTTATCACATACAATCGGCATGAGGCAATGGGACGGGCTGCTGTCGTCTCTGGCAACGCTGCACAGAGTCTGTGGTGGCGGGTTGCCATGGCACGGGTGCAAACAGGCGCCCTTGGCCCCGCTGAGTCACCCAGGGCGGAAATGACCCCAGCTGACACATCGTGCCAAAAATGTGCGGCTGCGTGGCTGTGCAGCATCACATGAGCCCAGGAACCCAGAGAGGGCGAAGTCCAGTGGCTTCTCCCCAGGAGAAGCAGCCCTGGCCCCTCAGTATGTAGCCAGACCTTCCCTTCCTATTGTGGTCCCCACTGCCATGCTCACTGCTGGGGCAAACTGCAGCTCGGTTCGTCCCGAATCTGTCCCAGTGCTGGGGGGGCCCAGAGCAGCGGCCAGGCAGGTCGAGCCAATGAGCCAGCTCTGTCCTGCTTCCCCCTGCCATACAGAGGGTCCTAGAGGCTTCCAGTGGTCTCTTGAGGCCTCGCAGGTACCCATGGTGACATCAGGGTGGTGTGCTGATGTCAGCCAGCCATTGCTTCTTTCCATCTGCCAGTCCTCATGGGACTGGTGCCTGAGATAGGGGAGGGAAAGGAGGCCTGGATGCAGCAGGGCAGGGGCTTGCTGCTGGTGGGGTGCCACCACCATCCCCGCTGGGACAGCACACTGGGGGCTGTCACGCTGTCACCTCCTTCATCTGTCCACAGCACAAGGTCCATCTCTGCAGCAGGAAACCATCGTCTTCCCATCGGCTTCTCCCACCCTGGGAAAACCACCCAGGGAGTCAGCAGAGCAGATAAGTGGGGCCTCACATGCCGGGACTGAGCCCCCGCCACACTGTGCCGCGCCAGAGAGGCTGGGATTTGCTGCCTGGCGTCCGACTTGCCCATGGCCAAGCGCCAGCTCTCTGCAGCACCAGGCGTGTTGTGTCAGCTGCGCCCACAGAGCTGTGAGCTGGGGGAGCCACGGGGCCAGGGACCAGGGGACGCTGGCCAGGAGGGCAGCCAGCCTGGCTCTGGGGTGCTGTGGGGTTGGTCTGGCCCATCTGTGGGATGGAGAGGCGCCACGGGGGCTCTGGGAGTGCTGGGATGGTGTGGATCCCAGCTGCTACTCCCCTGCTGGGTGGTGATGCTCACTGGCCTGGGGGACCAGTGAACTCTTGGCTTAGTGTGTTGGCTGGGGGACAGGAGCCCAGAGGAGGGGTGACGGCAGAACCACCCGTGCGTGCAGTAGGTGATGCAGGAGAGCCCTTGTCTCGGCAGCTGCCCTGGGGAGGAAAGGGCTAGACAGAGGATTGTGTGTGGGGACAGGGATAGCTTTGAGCAGGGTTTATGGAGTGGTCAAGAAAACACAGGAAATTGGCTCCAGCTGAAGGTCCTCCTGCTTGGAGATTACGGCGGGGACGGGAAAATAGACAAGCGATGTGTCATGGAAGGAACAGACAGCACCCATAAGCAGCAAGGTATGGAAAGCCAAGGAGGATGCCAAAGACAGCAGAGGATTGTCCAGGTTCGATAAGGCTCTGGGCAATAAAAAACGACTTTATGGGCCGTTGGGAACCAAAGGCAAAGAACTGTGTGGAGGTGCCAAACCTGTTAGGAAGGAGAGCAAAGAAGTGGATAGAGATTGCTGAGCTAGAACTGGATGAGGGATAAGGAAAATGCTTTCCAGGCCATTAGGAAAGGAGGATGTGAGACAACAGCTGCTAGAGAAGATATTTTAAAAATCCTTAAGCCTGGATAACTCACACCCAGGGGTCCTTTGAGGGCTGGCTGGAGTAGCAGCCAGGATCCACAGGACTGCAAGAGTTCTAATACAGCACTCAGCATTGGAAAGGGTTGCGCTCCCCAGCACAGGGGTGGGAGGCAGGAGAGGAGCAACTAGAGGGAAAGAGTGCAAACACAGTTCATGTTGGTTGGAGGTCTCGTTGGACCACTGTGATTTCTCTCCTCACTGCGAGCAGCCACTTGGCTGCAAGAGGCTGTTCTGTAGCAGGAAGGAATTTCACACGTTGTTTCACGTTGTTCAGATATTGGGGGAAAAAAAAGAAGAAGCATCATGCTAGATCCACAGTGTGCATGTTAAATGGGCTATGAACTGGGTAGCTGGCCAAGAAACCACCAGTGGGAGTTTCCAGCAGGTCTCATGTCTAGGCACAGGCAGGATCCCTGCAGCGCTGATGGAGCAGACTGGTGTAAGCTCTCAGCGGGAATCCATCTCTGGGCCAGGTTTTGGCTGTGTAAACCCTGGCCAAGGGTGGACTTTCCCTCTCAGGTACTCACGCTGTCTCCCAAATGGCAGATCCGTTTCTCCCCCACTGCCACCCAAAGATTAATCCCTGGGATTGCTTCAGTTAAGGAGTTCTATGCCTGGGTGCCCAAACTTGCTGCATCACACCCTGCTGAGCCAGAGGCAGGTGGGAATATCCGCAGCCCTGCTGCTGCTGCCAAACCCTGTGCTCTCCCATCACTCGAGAAGCAGCTCCCTGGTGTGCCTGCAGCAGAGCTGCGTTTTTGGAA